TTGCCAAGCGTTTTCGTTGAAGTCACGGTAATCTTTTTTTGTAATTTTTCCTCTTCATTGTCAATCTACAGTGTCTATCACGAATATTGGTTAAGATTATATAGGCCTATTACAGGACACCTTAAGAAGCATGGGCCTAAACACTACAAAGGCAGATTCACGTCCATACAGGCGTATCCACAGAAAATACGGGTAAATATATAACCTTGAAAAGTGTTTTTGAATTATTGTAGTCCATATAGAGGTCACCTTAGAGTTTGTGGTGTGTTACAAATTACATTATCGCTGTTGTGTAATGAGCTCTTCAGATCTCATTGTCTCTTCGACTGCATGTGATATTCAACTGCAAAACAAAGAAATATTTAGGTAGGAATTATGACATACTGTAATGTTGCACAATACTAAAATTCATAGACTGCATGCTTTATCTAGAGTTTAGCTCTTCTTACCATTTTATCAACCACTTAATTAAGGCCTAACAACAACAATAATAAAATAAAATAATTCAATAACAGGCCCAAATATAGCAACAATATAATAATAAAAAAAATATTAATTGGAAAAAAGATTAATATAATAATTATTGTAAACTGTCAGGACTATAAGTTCCGATCATACCTTTAGCTCAAGTGTGACCTTATGATAAATGTCTGGTTTATAGTCATTTAGTGTAGATATATCGTTTCCATGTGTAATGAGGTTCACCAAAACCATTGTATCATCTAAGAAACTACACGTCTTGCACACAGGTCCACATATGTACTGTTTTCTAAAGTATTCCAGGTTGAAATCTCGATTGATTATTTCGTCAATAAAAATAATCATTTTTTGTAAAACGAACATAGTCTGAGTCTTGTCTTCACTTATAACTTCAACTTTGATAAGATTTCTGTCGTATGAATTAATGTTTCCATGAATCTCTTCTGTGTTGATAAAAAAAAGACATGATTTACTTGTCCTAAATCTTGCTGCATTGTAATAGATCTCATCCCAACTAAACACTTCACAACATTTAGCGATTAGACGTAAAAATATAAATTCTTGAAGAATTTCACCAAAGTCGAAATAGAAAATGTGTTGGGAGTGAACATTGCTGTTCTGTGTTGTTGACATTAAATTGATCTTTGGCAGTCGACACGAGAGAAAGAAAGTACCGACTTGGTCGACTTGATCAATAACATTAAGCGGGAAAAGTAGTTGTGTTCCCACTAAGAAACGAATGATGTAAGGGTAA